GGCACCTTGCTCTATGTTAACGCATCCTTACAAGTGGAGCACACTATGACTTCACTGTAGTTTCTGTTGCTGTTACTCGTTCCAAATTCTTACCGAACGACGTCACGCGAGTTCATTGCCATGCCACGTGGGTTCACCGCGCGTCTGCAGAATCTCGTTTCTGTGATGCCATCATGTGATTGCTGATAGGATGTATGGGGAGAGGCCACAGCTTCTTACACAGCCACTTACGATGGCCCGAATGCACTAGCGTGTGCCAGCGCGTTCTGACTAGAATACAATGCGTTGGTTCATCACGCGCCTGCAGAATATCATTCTCCGATGCTATCACACGACTGCTCAGCTTGAGTCAATAGCCTTATACCCCTGTCACACGGTCACCACCAAACTCCGTTGAACACCGTCAACGTAAATCTCCCCTAGGTGGTTCGGCGGAGAAGGAGTTGTGGCAGTGTCACACGGCAGCGACAAGGTTGTAACAGTTGCCGCGAGGAAGCTCAGCAGGCGCCGTTTGATTTTCGGAAAAGTATTCTAATTTCATCTGTATTGATTTTTTGTGAATCCTCGTTATGCGGTTTTTACAAAAAAGCACTATTAAGGAGGGTCGCGACTAACAAACCATTAAAATAATTTCAAATAAAAACGCATTTGCTAAATGTAGCGATGCTGCTAGTGACGCTGGCCACATTGTGCTTTTAGTTGTTTTGTTGCCTGTGTACATGCCCGGTACGAAAGTTCTCATGCTTCCTTGCCTCGTGAGCGCACATTTTGTGTTCTTCAGCCATGAGTGACACAGCGGACGACGTGAGGAAGTGGTACGATATTGCGCTGGTAGTGACGTTGATCGGCTGGCGCCGGCCGGCCAGACTCGCGATGCACGGTGTGTAGGGCATTGGTGTTGAGAGTAAGTGAACTCTGGCGGGCGTAAATATTTGTAAACAAACACGCGTTGCAAATGAGTACTACAACGAAAGAACTTTTAATATTGCCAAAATGAATTATTTTTTCACTGCGGCCACTTACTGCTCGAAATTTTTCTCTGACCTCTAGACTGCTGGGGACGAGAGTACCTCGTTTCGCTGCGAAGGGAGATCGTCGAATGTCCTTTGCGAAATGCTCCGTTTACCTTCGTTTGCGTAAGGGTGGCAAAGTGACACGGACCGCATCTTCGTTGTTGTAAGGACGAGGGAGTTAAACGGTCTTCGCGGGTGCCCGTGTGACAGGGGTATTAGTGAGTTGAGGCAATCATATTTTGGTGAACTTGAGTGCGGATGAGAAAAACTTTGGCGAGCCTATGTCTGAGTGAGCCAACATTATCGGCCGGCCCATGGCCATGTACACTGAACTTCAGCACTGCTAACAGCCTTACGTCGGCTCACCTTTGTATTCACACTCAGAGTGCTGGCACCCCCTGTAAAGTTGTTTGCGCGGCGTGGGGTACGTGTCCCGCACATTGGCCGCATTTCGGGTTCACAACTATAGAGCGGTAGGTGGCGTTGTGCTCGCGAGCATTTCTCACCACCAACATTATCATCAAGGTCAGAGCGGTAGTGCAGGTGGTGACGCCTGGCAGCACAGGAGAGATGAGCAGACGTCTTTGGCGCATAGCGCAAAAGGTTGATTGATATGTGGGGTTTAACGTCTACAAAAACCACCATGTGATTATGACAGACGCTGTAGTGGAGGGGTCCGGACATTTCGACCACTTGGGGTTCTTTAACGTGCACCCAAATCTGAGCACACGGGCCTACAACATTTCCGCCTCCACCGGAAATGCAGCTACCACGGCCGGGATTCGATCCCGTGGCCTGCGGGTCAGCAGTCGAGTACCTTAGCCCCTAGACCACCGCGGCGGGGCTTGGCGCAAACGGTTCTCTATAGCGCTGGGTCTACCATAGGCCCTCGTGGTGAGTCAGGCCTTGGCGAAGCCGCCTTGTCTGTGTCCTTGTGTTTGTCATGTTGCTGAGTCTTGTGTAATTTTGTGTAAGGTTATTTTAGCGTGTTGATCACAATTGATGAATGATAAATCGGCTGACAATATCGTCAATCTAAAAGTAGTTAAATTAATGTATGTTGTTTGGTTCGGTCCGACCATGTCTACTCTGTGTCCATTCACTGTAAGAGCATGGCGCTTTCCACTTCGAGACCCCACAACGTCTACTAACATACTTCAACACACTAGCTCAAAGGCGGGAATTAGGGAGGGAAAAAGTACCTTAACCATTCCCCTCAGCAAGCACCTTCATGAAAATGTTTCACTGGATTGCAACTACTGATAACTCACATTTCAATATATACGAGATCAAAAGGTGCCAAGTGGATTACCGATTATGTGAGATATTGGTGTTAAAGAGCATTGATACCATGGTCCAAAAGGCTAATCATAAACTAACAGATTGATCAGTCGACTCACTCAGACTATGATCGAGCTGTGAGTTATACTTTTGGAGAGTACGAGTGAGCCCTATGGGCAATACATATATCATGAGTAAGTCTGAGTAAGCCCCCCCATTTTCCGGCCACTTATTGTAAGCCAAATCCACTAAGAAGACTTGATAACAAAGCCTGCACTTCAGCCCATTGCATTAACGTAATTAGCAATGTACACCAGTACAATCATTATGTCCATGCTGCAGCTCTTCAACACAGCACCAGAAACTCCCACTATTCAATCAGAATAGAAACTCCCACTATTCAATTTGAAGGGGGAAAAAAAACGCTACGACTGATAATTTTTGTATCAGTGCAGTCTTAAGAATGCCCAAGAAACGCTGCTCTGCTGTGCCAAAACTGAACGCAAATTTTTAGCAATTTCAGTTCCTCTCCGCACACATTTAAAAAGCGCAAAAACAGAGGCACTTCAGAAGAGCAGCTGTGCTTTTTTTCGCAGGTGCACTCAATGCGGACTAAAAAAGAAAAAAGTTCAACATATCATGAAGCTTTTTGAAGTAAAAGGCCGTAGCATTTTGTTTGCTTCTACTTTACCGTTAAGAAGCACCATGCGAGGAATGCTGACAGGCTAGCAAAAGGCTTGACATGAACGGCAACACAAAATGCATTGTGGCACTGTACTTATTGCTGAAAGTATTTTTTCCCAGCAATGGCATAAATTAAGAATAAGAACATGGACAAGCTGGTTTACATGCGCGGTAAAGATGAGCAGTGCGAAGAACTGAACTGTGTAAATACAGTTAAGGCAGGCCCGAGGAAGCAAAAGAATGACGAACGTGAGCACCGACAGATGCATGCGTATACAGAAGATAACCTGAAAGTCAAACGCCACGTCAAAAACACGTGTCGCATATGTTGGAAGGTTTAAGGCTGTCAAAACATAGTGTCGGAGAGTAGTCACATCAGCAAAACAACAAACCAGCATTAAACAGCGTTTCAGGACTATCACTCTCCCCTCAACTTCAGCCCAAGCAGCTACACAGTGCTCCCCATTAGGTCTTCAAGCAGGCCATTAAATGGTTCTTTGCACAAAAACAAAGGCAACTGCAGGCAACCGTTTTCTGGAAACCGTTTTCTCTTTCCTGGCCACCGTTCTCTTGATATCTTTGTATATCCTGTAAATCTTATATATGGGCAACATTGAATGCCTACTGGCTCCTCAGTTGAATGCATGGTTAAGTATAGTGATCCTGATTAGAGACGTACTACTGAAGTAGCGTCAACGGCAGCAAATGATCACAAAACGGTCACTTTGTCGGATGAAGTTGAGGACTAAATGCAGGAGAATCTACCTAAGCTGACAGGCAAGCGGCTGCCACGATAATTGAATTCCAGTGGTATCCCATTCCACATAAATTGGAACAGGGGCAGAACGTCTTGACAATCTCTACTTGTATACATTATGTCAATATGCAAGATGAGTTAACAAAGTTTGCAGAAGGTACGTTTCAGTAACAGTAGTTCATTCAAAATAACAATGATCAAAAAGTGCCCATGAAGCTGTCAGCGCTCTTTACTCATTTAACATATGAAATTTAGTGCCTACCACAAAGTGACCAAGCAGACTGCATGACAGTCATGTATCGAGAAGAACAACAATTTCATTGTTCGACTTGACTGCACCTAAACACAAGGATAATCTGTAGTAAGGACAAGAAGCCAGAATTCTGCCTGCGTAAGTGTTCAATCAAGGTAGCACAATCCTACTGTGGAAGAATTTTTGTACAGATGTAAGTGGATGACCGCCGCGGTAGATCAGTGGTTACGGTGCCCGGCTGCAGCGGCTTCGATCCCTGCCACGGTGGTCGCATTTCGGTGTCCACTATGACGTCCCTCATAACCCCATTGTGTTTTCGAGTCGTAAAACGCCAGATATTATTGTTCGAAACAAGTGAATTTTCTAACTCCTATGGGCCAAGAGCTTGCACGATCAAATGAATGCCTCAATATATCTGGCAAACTTAGTGCTGCAGTCGGTAAGTACAACTCCCCGTTTCTTCACTTTATACTACATTGTGTTGTTTAGCATTGGCAGCAGCGGCCCTTTCATTCTATAAAGAGCAACAGCGATTCAGATTCAAAGAAATCGTATATACAAGAAAAAAAAAAACAGTAGCTTAAGTAGTGCTCAAACAACATGCTTGTTGGAAAGACTAATGTACATCTGGAAAAATTTCAGATTTGTTGTCGCACACACACGGAAAGAAGAATTGCTGCACATCAGACAAAAGTAGATCAAACCAACACAGGACGAACTTTAAAAAGCTTAATGAACACCGTTCCCTTTAATAAACCAAAACAAACCCAGCTAGAAGAGTGCACAATGGTTTCTTTGATTATTTCAATGACTGGTGTGGCTGACGGCAAAGGCTTTGATAAAAAAGAAATGGAGAGAAGCTACTACTAAGTACACTAAAAATCACGTGTACTTAAGTGTTTTTATGTGACACCTCCTGAAGTGCTTTAATTGCATGTGACGCTTACTCACTTAAGGTGACATCGAATTTACTCTCAGGACACAGGTATAAACAGACAAACACAATGCTCACCTTGGCTGCCGTATTGCTCGAAATCTTCAATTTCTTCTCTGGAGGTTCCGTGTGTTTGCTTCCCTCCTTGGAGGTACACTTGGCGCTGTGCAAATCCTCGTCCACGCGGTGCTTGTGTTTCTTGCGCCGCTCCTTGCGATCAGTGCGGTCAGAAGAGTCAGCCTTTTTTCGACTCTTCTCGGACTTCGAGGCAGCCTCCCCGCTGTTCGATGAGTGGGAGTTGGAACCGGACTTTGAAGAATTGGATGACTTCGTCGACCGCTTCTTCTTTTCGCCGTCTTTTTTGACCTTCGGAAGCACAGCAGCCTGTTCTGATGCTGGCAGGCACAGTGCTAAAGAAGAAGTTGAGAGAAGAGCCTGCTGCGGCAGACACACAGGTGATGCTGCTGCAGTGAGCACCGCAGCCGACGGGGGCCCAGGGCCAGGCATTGGCTGTGGCACAGTCGGCACCATGCAACCGTTCGACAGCACCGCAGCATCTTTGCTGGGCAAAATAGAAGGCTGCGCAACCGTGCTGCCATTGAGCCGCACTTCGCAAGCCTTTATGGACTGCAGCGTCTTAGGGATGGTGGCAGACCCGGGGGAAGCCACCTCTGCAGTCTGGGGCACCGGGAGAAGTTCAGCTGACGGCATCGTCTGTGAAACTGCTTCTTTTCCTGGGAAAGATTTGAGAAACAAAACTTACTGGAATATGCATAAACAGTGTTGAAAGCAGAAGCACTCCACTACAATTGCAAACCACGAAGCTGTGTCGGGCAACACTTCATGTTTAAGGATTTTTTTCATCTCTTTAAGCCTCCATCTACACCTGACCATCTCGAAACGCACCTCTTACTATGTAGACTATGTGTAAAGTTGGGAAAATGTTAACCTGGAGCATTATAAACGTCCATTTCAGTAAATTACACATGCGAACCAAGACCCCCCCTCCTCAAATATCTCGGACAACCTGGCATTCAAACCTTTTAAAAGCTCACCTTGAGCCAGTGAAGAAAATTTGACGTTCCAAACGGTAATAGAGGCAAACACTCCCTTGAGATAAATTATGCCTTCGCATTAAGTGCTTCCAAGTGCTATAATGACAAATATCTGAGAGCTACGCCATATACTACGGCCCAAAGGCGTAATAAAGTTTCTATGCACAGCTTCTAGCCAGGAGAACAATCACAAAAATACCCCATCCATCGCTTTTCCTGCGTTCTGGTTAAACAACTACTGTTTCGGCGAAACACTAACCAAAACCCGAAATACGCGCACACTATTGCCGCCGCCTCACAGCCGAAGTTCACAAGACGGCCCCAGATTGCAACAGCTATATCCACTTTCGCGGTATCTAAGATATGCTGAGGGTCTCAATTTTCAGCGCAGTGCGCACGACCCCAAAAGGTCACCGTGACGACGATGAGCGAAAAGCCTACGCTCGGCGCTTCCCGGGATTGCCGCCACGCTACACATACTACTCAAGATTAAGGCAGTCATAACAAGTCCAGCCACGTGGTTGATAGGCGCTTCAGGAAACGCCAGGCGCGCAGTCCGCCCGCCAAGGGGGCACGCATGGGGAAAACGTTTCCGAAATAGCAACGCGGAATTTGAAAGGACGCCTCGCTTGGGCGGGAGTTTGCGTACCGCGTGCCATGGTCAGCCGTGATCGCGACTGTGCGCACCTGAAATCAGACGACGCGCATGACTGTGTTCCAAAAGTACGAAACCTGAAAAGGTGCTGCGAGACGAAACTGCACGCTGCGAAACCGACCCCGTTTTAACGCCCACAGAGACGGGAGAGAACAAAAATCGAATCGATCGTTTCACCTACAAAGCTGTCATCTGCCCCCGATCCCGACCGAGTGGGACAATTTACCGTTCGTTTCTTTTTCTTCCAGCCCCCAAATAAGTGTGAACTCGCGTGTGGGCGGAGCGAGGAATCGCGACTTCTTTGTCGAAATGAAAACAGCTCACGTTCAAAAGGCTACCTTCGGCCACGAAAACACACAACCAGCGAATCGCACATCGTCAGTCTCAGGATCGGAACCACGACACAGGATATACAGCTATAAAGGATGCGAACTACAACAGTGCAAAATGCCCAACGCCCGCCGAAAAATATATAAAGAAAATAAGCGATAACAACACCAGCGTGACTTGGGTCAACACAATAAGCCGCGATCTCGCTCGTAATCCCGTTTGTCTGCGCAGATATTGCTACGATGCGTGCAACTCGGTGCGAGCGATTAGTGCGATCGGGGAATAGATGTGGAAAACCAGCGGTCGCTCGCAGACTATCCCAAGGTTGAAGCTTTTCACGCCTGTAGGGCTAACGTCGCCCAGTAGACGGGCGCACGGATGTCCCGTCCAGGGCGCCTGCGCGATTAGCCAGCTCGTGCGAGTCTACGCTTTCAACGGTACCTTGTGCGCTTTCCATGTCGCACTCAGAAGCGTGAGCTGCTACTGCGTCAGTTTCGTCGTCATACTCGGACGGCGAAGAGTCTGTGGTGAGGTCCGTGCCGTACGCCTCACTCGGGGGCAGTCCAGGCAGATTTCGGCCGCTGTGCTGCTCTCGCTTCTTCAAATGGCTGCCGCCGCTCGGGTCGGTGTCGTCAGTCCTCTCCAACGATGGCTCGGACGTGTGGTTTTCGCGGTTGGCACAACGCTTAACACAATCGTCGATGACGTTGTGGCAGCTTGAAGCCATTTTGCGTGGCCTGCTGCCTCTGCTACAAAACGCATCCAGCGGGACGGAATACGAACGGGTTTCGTCGTGTCTCGTACCATTGGACGATGCGAACGGCTGAAAGTCATGTGACGTGGCTAGACAGCCGCGCAACCAATCGCGCACGGCGTACTACTGTTTGCTTCCAAAGAGCAGCAACGTCGGGCAACGTTGGTTTCTGTTTTGTGCGCTTTTGTACGCATGCGCGTGGTTTACATCAGAGGGCGCCCGTGTCGCATGGCTTTGAATATCCATTATTTTTCTTCGGTGGGTTCGTGTAAACAACAGTGACAGCAGTAATATTTTTCAAGGAGAGATGACTGGCTATCCGAGCCACAGTTCTTGCCCATATCGCTAATAAATGCCAAGAAAACACTCCGCTTTGACGGCTTCCGCACGAGTCGTGAGCGGCGGACAGCGCGGTTTTTGTACACCGTACTTTACAGCAACTACATTAAATGATGGGAACAGAACACAGCGTAAACTGGACGCCACACTGCTCGCTGCATGTTTTAAAATTACGTGCACTCTAAACACACTCGCAAGCACAGTGGATGTTTTCGCTGCGATAAAGAAACGTCCACCACACACAAAAATGAAACGAACCTGTGAATTTTATGGCAACAACGAGCTGCATATTATTAATTGAATAGCTGGCTATAAATATAGTTAAACGGCCACCTGTAACAAGCTACACGAAATAGCAAAATCGCCGCGCGTTTGGTATGTAATGATATGTTGCCTTCAGCTCCTTCGGCGCCATTACGTTTACTGAGCGAGCCAATGAGATTCCTGGTTAGATGGGCACAGGTAACGAATAGGAACGCGTCTTGCATGCCGGGCGCCATTTGACTTGCGCATGCGTATTGGGAATCCAAGTCAGGCCAAGTCTTCTCTTGCGAGTCTCGGCGAAGGCAAGCAGTGTGGAGCCCGTATTTGTGTGATTTGTCGTAGTCGCGGGCCACCGTTCACGATGTCTACCAGCGCGCCTGCACCGAAGAAAGCGAAGAAAGCCGAAGGGTCCGCGGCGTCGGGCGACGGCGATGAGAGCAGAGATTACGATGCTGAGACTCAGAAGGCGCTGGAAGAAATCGACGCCTGTCAGAATGAGATAGACGCGCTCAACGAGAAGGCCAGCGAGGAGATCCTGAAGGTGGAACAGAAGTACAACAAGTTGAGGAAACCGTTCTTCGAGAAGAGGAATGACCTAATCAAGAAGATTCCAAATTTCTGGGTGACAGCCGTATCCTTTCCTGGTAAATGTTTCGTTGCATGAGAGTTTTGTTCTCGAGTTAAGCCTAATATGGTGCACCCGGTGGCTGGCTGCGCTGGCACATGCTTTGTTCGATGCACATTTTCGCGCGCGAGGCTCTATAATGTGCTCGCGAGAGTGTTATTTTCTTCGGGATGTGTCTGTGTGGTTTTGCTGCACGCGAGGCGTTTAAGCGCTGTTCGTGTTTTGAGTCCAACTTGTATTTGCATGAAACGTGTTACTCGTCTTCCCGCCAATGCCTTGCGATGCCCGGTAGCCGGCACGGAGACGCGAAAGGGCGCTTGATTTGCCGGGCTTCTGATAGTAAAATGCGTAGCCATTCATGCTTTGGTTGTTCGTAGCTGTCTGAAAACATTCTTTCCGGGACTCGGTAGTCGCGTTGCTGCACCGGGGCGGTATTTCGTGGTGGATTCGTTTGTTTTCAGGCACTAAGCCTAACGCGCTAGCGACGTCCATGTTTTTCTACGGGGGCTGCATGCTTTGGCGTGCTGGCACCATGCATTGCTTTGCGCACTTGCCTGTAACGCTGCGCTGGCGCGATCCCCGTGCCCCAAGGATGTGTTAAGCGTGAGCTTAGTTAAGCGTGATGCCAATTCCTGGTTTTTCGGCCAGTTTTTCGGCGAAATGTCGCCCGATTTTGGAGTTACGACGATCGGGATTCAGGGGGGTGGTTGACGCTGTCTAGAAGAGCGGCAAGCGCTTCTGCGTGCTATTCACCGGTGCCACCCTTCGAATTGAACGATCTTTTCGCGGTTTTTATTTATTTGCTGTCCGCCGCCGCAGAGACGGCGTTTGTTGTTTTGCGCCACCGCACCGGCTGGGAACGCGTGGTAGGCTTCGGCCGCGTGCTGTACCGCTTCGTGTTTGAAAATGCCTGCTCACCCTCGCCGAGGCGGCTAGCACGCCGTGACCACGTTGTGTGGCGCGATTTAGTGACGTGATCGGTTCGCACCTTTTTCGTTGTCATCTGCATTCCTGCACAGTTCTGTTACTTCTGTACGATATTTCATGTGCGCGACTGTTTATTTCTCTCATGATTGCGACAAATTCGAGCGTCGCTAAAGGGGCAGAGCGAAAAACTCGTGACCAACGCGTGGCTGCCGGTCCCAACGTTGCCAGACAGTCTAATCGAACTGTTCCGTTTCGGGGCGAAGTGCGGCTGATACGCGAAAACGAACAAAAAAGGAAGTGGCGCGACCTTCGGATGAAGTAATAGAACAGCGACTTTTGTTTAAACTGACCGAAAGTGAGTTTTGGAGGCTTCAAGCGTGAAACGCTTCCATCTTATTGTGCCGTATTTGCGTGATAACATTGGGTAAAATCTCAGATTACTTGTGGACTGCTCAGCCATTGATTCCTTGACGGAGCATTGTGCACGTGCAGTTTGTGAACCATCCACAGATCTCAGCAATCCTCGATGAAGAGGAGGAAGAGAGCTTGCACTTCCTTTCCAAGCTGGAGGTGGAAGAGTTTGAGGACATCAAGTCTGGCTACAGGATCAAGTTTTACTTCGACGAGAATCCTTACTTCGAGAATGATGTTCTCATCAAGGAGTTCCACCTTGGCTCTTCTGGTAGGTGCCTCTGCCTCATTATTTAGAGACTTGTATACAAGTTAATTGGGCCTAGCGGTTTGGTTATTACGCATCTGCCTAAACGACAGACAGTAGCCCTTGTACGCTAGCAGTGTTCTGCCAGCCAGCTGGCCCAGAGTTGTTTGTCACTTCTAAGTTAATATTGCCTCCCACTGCTCAATTGCTTTTTTTTTTTTTTTTTTTTTTGGGGGGGGGGGAAGGGGGGGGGCTGTTAAGACGCTTGAAAGAGCAAGCCCAGAGGATGTGCTTCAGATATGCAGCTGCACAGTGGGGCCACTATATTGGTCTGGGTAATTGTGGCTCTAGTCCAATAGATTTGGATTAGTGTTTGTTTGGAGGCACTGGACCGCTGTCTGCATTTTATTGGATGCTGGATGCGCGAAGGGATATCAAGCCCTCACAAATGTATAATGCTTAATTTCATTGCACCTGTAATACGGTAGCAACTTGGGCGCCTTGAAAATACTTGAAGAAATTACACAGGTGCAAACAACTGCTAGTTCATTAGAAAGAATACTCAAGATGTCTGGGTAACAATGAGGTTATCACCTTAATGGCATTCCCCTTTGAGTAAAACAAGAAACACTGCAGTATTATCATGTACGATCTCAAGTGCACACATTTTGGGAAAGGTGACAGCTCCTGTGTAATTTATTATTAGTGTTCCATTTGTGGGGGTCATTTTGTCATTGTAGCCAACCCTGCGTTTTGCTGTCATTTCTGGTTGAGACAGCTCGATTAGTGTGTTCTCGAGACTCTGTGTGAACCACCCAGCCTGTTTTGGAAGGTGTCGGGTGCAGATTTTCAAACTGCTTACATTATGAAGTACCACTCGACAAGTGTGTTGAATCTTCCCATCAGCCCCAGCTTTTAGAGGAGCTTCTGTAGGGTTGTTGTAGATGCATCTATCTATATTTGTTTATGTGCTTACCTGGCAGTAAGTACATGTTCTTGCTATAAGTTTTTATAGATAAAAATGCGTTCACCTACACTACATGCTAGGTCGCCATGTTCATACCTGCCAAGTCCGGTCTCCTGGATTGCCTGTGAGACTCCCAGATTTCGACCAATTTTTTTTTGTATGGTCATGAAAATATCCCGGAAATGCAATTTCTGTGTATGATCTGGCTGCGTTGACAAAAATTCAGGTCACTACTCCAGGCTTTTTTCAAACCCACTTCATAAACAAGCTTGGGAGGCGTTCATCTAAACGTATATTTGCATCTCGGTATATTTGCGTATATTGCATCATTTGCAACTGCCGCATATACGAGCGAGCGGCGCATGCGTGTAATTGTCGTTGCCACAATTTCTGTCGACGAAAGGCGGCCGTTCTAGCCGTGATAATGTATAACGACGACGTAACTAACAGTACTCCAAAAGTGTTTGCGCGTCCACCACTCACCCAGTCAAAGCAACACTGCTTATCGCAAACTTTGTGGACAAAACCGCAGCAGATGCGATTATAGATCATTTTGTGTGCGTTGCCGCGCGTCATCTTGTGCGCATCACCGCACGCAAAGCTGCGGCCCCGGTGACGCGATAGCAATATATGAGCTCCAAGGGTACACTGCTAACACAACGGTAAATAAAAGCAGTGAAGACTTCAAAAAGGCTAGAAGCGTTTTGGCGTTCCTGTGCAAAAATATCTAGTAGTGAGCAAGATATTGACCCACTCTTTCGCGGCAGCCAGCTGCGCCCTCTCCCGGTGCTCGTTGCGAAAATCTCCTGGATTCAGAATCGTTGAACTTCGCAAGTATGCATGATGGATCTCCATAGGTCGTGGCAGCCACATTAGCTTGCAACCAAAGCACTCAGTGCCAAGGCAAAAAGCCTTGGCCCTATTACAGTGTTGCATACAGTAATGGGAATCCGCAGCCATCCTCTTGGATTTTGTACCCTGTGCTGGTGCCTGATCCTCATTTGTGTTGCCACATGTCTGATGGGCTTGTTTCTCAAGACAAGTCTTTTGTACAAAGTGGAGACTGGTTGAAGGCTTCAAGATACATGTTAGAGACATGCATGTTAAGATGCATGTTAAGTTAAGCTAGTTAGTATAAATTATTGGTTTGAGATATACATCATTGGCTTAGGGAGGGACAATCTGCAAGGCAAAGAGACAGAACCTAATGCAAACATGGCAGAAAGGGATTCGATTAACACCATTTTAGGTGTGCAACTGTTGTGCAATATCTGAAAAAATCGCGGTGAAGGGTCATTGCCCCAAAAGCTTGAATACGATCTTACAAATGGTGCTGGTATAAAGTCGCATACCTGCCAACTCCTCCTATTATCCCGTAAATTGTACGAATTTCGATTGCGGTTACGATTTTACAAATCTTCTCTGAAATGTTACGAAAAATATTTCATTTCCAATTTTAAAAATTGAAATTAATAATATAGCGCGTAGCCTCTGCGATTGGCTACGCCGCCTTGCCGTAGCTAGTCGCGGAAGCCACAAAAATGGCGATGTGCTATATTCCGCGACCAGGAAAGAATGTGTATTGGTGTAAGCATCACATACCTGCAGAGTCTCCCGCATTGCAGACTCCCGGATTTCAACCGTTTCTTCTGTTTGTACAGTTGCCATGAAAATCTCCGAGAAATTGAAATTCGTACGAGTGCGAGATCTGGCCGCATTGACAAATATGCAGGTCAGTCCGTTTCGGGCTTTTTTGCGAGTCTAGCGCGTTTTATTATAAACGAATTTGAGAGGCGGTCATCTAGGCATACAGTGGAGTCTCAACGATACAAAACTGCACAGACACCAATTCGTGAAATTTCCCAGCCAAATTCATGGGCTCATTGGGCCGAAGTTTGAATGTTCTGAACACTTTTCCTAATCATGGCGTGTGATATGAATTTTAGTATCGAAACTGTCGAACAAAGGCCGATCGAGGGCGGCGAGCTCATAGCTTCGAAAGTACGCGTGCAGCCAACGCTCAACCAGTCAAACCAACGCTGCTTTCTGCAAACTCTGTGGACAAAACTGCCGTAGTAGTGATCGTGCAAAGCAAACGACTTGGTTTAGAAGGTACGTGGATTGAGAACACAACTACCGTTTGCTGCAACCCCTGCGCACAAAACCACGGTCGCGGCGATGCAATAGCGATCTACGAGCTCCAAGGGCACGTGGCTGATGCAGTGGTTGAATACAGTCGGTAAAGACATAAAAAATAGACTAGAAGCGTTTTGGCGTTCCTGTGCAAGGAATCTAGTAGCGGCCAAAGCTGTGACCTGCGCTTTCGCTGCAGCCAGCTGGGCCGTCCCGTCCATTCACGTGCGAATACGTGCACCAGATCAGTTTTTTTTTTTTTTTTTTCTTAGTTGTTTTGAGGAAGCGAAATTTCGGGAGCATTTGCACTCCCCCTTTGAGACTCAACGTAGTGGGAAAATGACACTGCAATGCCGATGTTTCCGCTTGCATTTTTTGAAGCCCCCCACTCTCTTCTTTTTCGTAATGTTTTTTTTTTTTTTCCCCAAAAATGGGGGATTCATTCAGCACGTCAATTTGACTTGTGGGGGCAAAACATTATTATGCTTGTCGTTAAAGGCATGTCCAAAGAATTTGTTTTGAATTTGTTTGGAACTGGTGGAAGGGTAGACTGGGGGGATGCTGCTGTGGTGATGTGTTGCAATGTGTTCACCCTAGGGGACCCAGCCTCCCAGTCCACACCCATCAAATGGAAGGAGGACATGGACTTGACCAAGCGGCACAAGCAGCGGCAGTCGCAGATGAAGAGCAGTCGCAAGAGGGCGCACGAGCAGCCGCGCACCTTCTTCAACTGGTTCACCGATCACGGGGATGCGTCTGCCGATGACATTGCTGAGGTACGACTCCCTTAATCCATACTGCCAGCAATAACAGTGCTTGCCTGCAGTGCTTGAAATCCTAACTTGCTATGCAGTGTTTTCTAAGGTAGATAAGTCTGGTGTAAACCTTGCCTTGCCTGTACCTTGATAGTTACAATACTGCTTTCATTGCAAAGCGGTGCAGTTGGTAATACAGTCGAGCCCGCTTATAATGAACCTGAGCCTGGCGCGGCATTCATTCGCTGTATCCCGAATTCGTAGTGAATGAAACACAGCTTTTAAAAAGTTGCAAGTGAGAACACAAATATTTGCCCAAAAAAGTCTGTGGTGCACGCGTTTCGAAGCGCAGAAGGGATAAGGGCGGTCTTGAGTTTATTTTAAACTCCAGCGTGCTCTTGGCTGAGGCCCGTGGCATAAGCTGCTTAAAGCGCTGGCTCCAAAGCTTCGTCCGTCTCGCAATCCGGTTCTTCCAAATCGCTCTTGCCGCGTACTTGATTAACAATGCCCTAATCCGTGGACGTTCCGCGGTGTAGACATCATCATCGGCCTTAATTAAACCATCGCAACTGATGTCCCACCCGCTCTGCCAGGTCGGAGTCGACCTGGCAGAGTTTCACGTGCATGTAGCCATCACCGCCGCCCACGAAATATTCACCATCTCCACAGCTGAATACCGGAACGCCCGAAGCGGCAAGTTGGCTGCCAGGGGGTCAACGGCTATGGGTAAGCGCTCTGCAACGCCGCACCTAACGTGCAGATTACGCCCAAGCCAAGCGGTCACACTCTCGACGTTTTGTTGAGCGGCAGGAAAACGTGTGCAAGGCTTCCTGTCCGCCATGCTGACCACACACACACATTGAGAGCGAGCAAGACGCTCACACGCAACACACATGCAAGAATGCATGGCACAACTCTGGGCCCGTTTCTAGTCGAAAAACAAAACTTGAATTCGAGTCAGCATGGCTGGCGTTGTGTAGCGGTGGAGACGGGTGAAGGAGCTGTGTCAAGAGAGGAGAGCCGATTTGCGAGAGAAGGGCATGGAGTTGCGATAGAGTGAAGAGAATGGAGGATACGGCGGGAAGGAGGCAGGTTCGGGCAGCTTGCTTGAAAGTTCAACGACCATGGGAATGATGGGTTGTACACACATTTGCTTAGTCTTCGTACTTGCGGCTTTGTTTATTGCTTTGTTTCGGTTTTGTTTTGAAAGAAGCTTCAACCCTTTTGAACTTCTTGATCAGATTTGGAAAGGCAAGTCTAAAAGCATAAGATGGTGAAGCGCAACTGCTGAACATTTGCTAATGTCTTTTTCGTAAGTAAACAGCTCTAAGCCACACGGAGCCAAAAGCAGGCCAGAAGTACGAATATTAGACAAATGTGTGTACTACCCATGTCACAGGTCCCGTTAATAAGGTCCGGGCTAATTCCAAGGGCCGAAGTATCGGCCCCCCGAACTGCACCACGAAAGCGTGGACAATTTAGAAGTGGTCCTATTTGGCGCGCCAGCAGATGCCGGCTGTGGCCCAAAGAACAAGTCAGAGCCGAGAGTTGATAAACAAAACAAAAATATATTCTCAATTATGGCATAAAACGATGCACAAATATGCACACTCGACAATAGTTGAATACGATATGTCACCAATCAACGTACTACACAGTACAATTAGCCACACTCTAAACAACGGACACAAGCAACAATACGCACTACAATGCAATCGCATGCATCGAACAACCAAGACACTCAAAGACTATATAGAGTTCGAAAACTTATTCAGTCCAGAGTCCTTGGAACAAAAGTGATTGATACTCTTCCGAAAACCACTCACTCAAAGTCCAGCGCTGTTGTCGTTCTGCTGCCTCCGAAGTTTCTCCTCCAGGAAGACTCGCGTCTTCAATTGGCCGCTCTTCAAGCACCAATCTTCGCCGGTAACACGTCGGCTTCCCACGCGTTGAGATTGCAAGACGCGTCTTCGCTCTCTGGCGGTATCTTCTGCTTGTAGCACGATTCTTCACTCCTCAGGTGGAAATACTTTTCATTACCTGCTTTGTCGCTAAGGACAAAACCTTCGCCGACGACACGGCGGAACACCCTACGCACACTGGCACTAACTTCCTTCTCCTGATCTCCCATCTCTGCTGCTCATCGTTTCTGTCGGCGCGATGCGCAGCGAAGGCTGGGGAAAGCGCGAGATTTTTCAAGGGCCGCTCGCGACACATGACACAACTCTGCATCACCACGCCCCTTTACCTCGAGAACCTTCCAGGGCTTGCTCGGGCGCCGATGTGGGGAGGGCGAACTACGCTTTCGAGGGTAGAGAGATCGTATGTAGACGATGTTGGCATATAGTCTGGTCACTCCGAGCCGGCGATGTCAATAGCAGTCATCATCATCAGCCTGACTACGTCCACTGCAGGGCAAAGGCCTCTCCCATGTTCCGTCAGTTAAGGGGAGACGCTACTCGAAAACACTTTTTCTTTAGTTTTCAAGTTAGGGTTTCCAAAATTTAGCCACAGAGATATTTTTTCTTGTAGATTCCAAAACTGTTATCAGATTTTGTGTAGCCTCATTACTTTTAAAGTTATTATACATGCAATAACAAAACAAAGGGATTTTTACTCTCGCTTTTTCGACATCAAAACTTTTGTGTAGATGTTTGTGTAATAGCTTATTATGCTTGTCATGAACTACTGTGTGCATTTAAGAGGTTAAAATTACGAGAAAAAAAAGCTGTTACTACAAAAAATGAACAGATCTGCCAAACTTCTTTGTTTCAGGGTTCCTTGTATCATTTCTTGGTATGTTTTTATTGATAATGGCTATGCATCATAAATCAGAATAGATAACGGCACTCTACACACCTTGAAGAATGTGTGTGCCAAGTTTCATCGCAATAGAACAATTTTAAGGGGATGAAACTATGTGAGTGAAATGTGACCGTGGCCAAAAATTTCAAAATGAGAAAAACGCGTTTGAAAGTTTGGAACATGTTTACTAATTAGGGCGCACTTGCAAACACTCAAAAGTGTGTCTAATGCACAGGCAGTATGTCCAGGAGCTGGCCACGGTGACTAGAATTCACCCGCACTGTATGCAACTCCTTCGCGGTCCTTCCGAGCGGAGTCCTGTAGGCGAGCTCTCTTGGCCGATGTGCGGCGGTGAGCCCTCGCCTCAGCAGTCTGTTGGGCATTCATCTTCTGAATGCGCCTCTTGTCGCTGTAGTCCCCCAGGGTGGTCAAGCTTGCTGGTGGTAGAACACCAAGCTCCTCCAGGACCACCTCGAAGCTTGCATGGCCCCGGTTATACCAGAGCACAGCAATGGCTGTGGCAGTCTCCACAGCACTTCGGGAAGCAAACTTTGTTTTAGGGCACAGCAGCCACACCTTGCTGTTGAGAGACTCAGCAGCGTTCTGAGTTTTTCCTCGAAGGCATCGGGCCAGCAGCTTCTCGTCAGAAAGGCGCTTGTATATGGGCAGCAGTGCCCGGCCCTGTGCCTTTGTCAGAAGCGGTGTATGCTGTGGTGCAGGCTCGCCCATTGCTTCAGCACGCTTGTGCTTGCACCACGATTCTTGGCCTGGTGGGCAGAAGTTGTGGCTGCCAGCACCATCAGTGGAGCAAGAATGAAAGTAGGACGCCCATATGGCAGTGTACATGTCCCGTAGGTTGCCTCTATTGCCCGTGATGGCGATCTGATAATATGTCTGCAGCTTTTCAATGGTGGCAGGCTTGAGCTTCTCACCTCTGGGCAGTGGTGTCGGCAATTTGCGTATGCCAGTGCCTAGGCGCTTCGCAACATGATTAGTGCAGTCCTCCTTGCAGATGGCACCTGCACCGTACACCTTGGCATCACAAACTCTGCTATATGCTTTGCTGTCGCCATCACTAAGAAATGTTGCGAAGCGAAGTGGAGTCTCATACAGCAAAGTGCGCTCCCATATCTGTAGTGCTGCTTCAGCTTCCATGCCATGAGCGGAGCTGTCGGTGTTCTTCTCACAGACAGGTCTGTGGTAGGCCTGCCAGATTTCCTCTTCAGAGCCCATGTCGTTGTGTAGACTGCAAGCGTGGCAGTAATTTGACAGCACTTCGAAATCTAAGCACAGGCCGGTGTCCAAGGAGATAGCCGCGCCGACTCCGTTGTGGCTTTTATGGCCCCGTTTCTGCCAAGTTCCATCATACATTACGGCCACGTCACTACTACCAACCACCTGCTTTGTTACGGCTCTTGCCTGGTTCAAATTTTCGGTCACGGCCCTCATAGCAGCATCGTGAACCTTCTTGCTGATTGCCTGGAAGGTTTTGTGGTGCATGGGCTTCGCTAGTCCAACAATCGCACAAAACCGCGAAAGCTGGTCATGTCCGATGCCTATGGCACGCGAGGCTACAACAGCTTTCACATTAGCCGCGAAGCTATCGCGCGAGCTGCCGTTGCCGTAGTGTCCCACCTTCGCGCAGTCGTCGGATGCTGCGGCGGCTTCGCCGGAGGCAACACGCCTCGACGTATGTGTCGAAGAGAGAACACCAGACGCGCACTCACTGTTCTCACACCGCAACTCGAGACAGGACGACAGTCCTTTGCGCCGTTCTGCCACCTCGCGAACAACAAGTTTGTGTTCACGGCAAGACGGGCACTCCGCTCCCCCCACAAGTGCCGTCATCGCATCGATGTCGCACAGCACTGCTGATGATACGCCATCATGCGCACGCCTTTGGTTCTTTTCAAAAAACTCCAGTTTTTTTTGTGAGGCGCTGACGAAGTTTGCGGCAGCGTCGAGGCCGCCGGCGAAGTCACTGTCGCGATAGTTGCCGACGCTGGGGTTAGGCCTAGACCTCTCCGGCCTGTTCACCTTTGCCGCAGTCTGACGACGCACTTTACGACGTTTTCCCACATACTTATTTATCGTCCGGTACTTTTTCACCTTGTACACCTGCTTTTTGGCAGGATTCATCGCGTAACTAATTGAATAACTCCTTGCGAAGTTCAGCTTGCGATGCAGAGCGGGGCCGAAGGGACAAGCGGGCACTGCTCTAGCCAATGGCGCGCTCGCTACGGCACCACGTGACGCGCCGCGCGATTCAATCGGCACGCAGGGACGTTCAAAAAAAAGATTTTTTATAGTATTTTTTTCTTTCCGGACGAGACTTTTCGAGCCTGTGTTCGAGAGAGCATGGAGAACTCTAACCGCCTCAGTGATTACAAATGGCGCACGGTGCCGCTGCCTCGAGATACCGGGGCCGGCAAAACGTCGATTTCGGCAGATTTCAGCGATTTTCTAGGTCTCCGGGGCTTACTTGAGCGCATTTTTCAGTAACTTCTGACACGAATTACCGATTGAAATTTATTTCTGGTAAACATGAATGTTTAAAGAATCTAATACGACTGAAAACAAAAAAGTGAAAATTTCCGGAAAAAACGCGATTTTTCGACCCGCGTCTCCCCTTAAGTCGGTCCTGTGCTTCATACCCGCAAACTTCTTAATTTCATCTGCCCACCTAACCTTCTGTCTCCCCCTAACCCGCTTGCCTTACCTGGGAATCCAGTTAGTTACCCTTAATGACCAGCGGAAATCCTGTCTACGCGCTACATGCCCTGCCCATGTCCGTTTCCACTTCTTGATTTCAACTATGATATCCTTAACCCACGTTTGTTCCTTAATCCACTCTGCTCTCTTCTTGTCTCTTAGGGGGGACGCGGGGATCAAATGGCGAAATTCTCGCAAAAAAACGAATTTTGGATAAGGGCAGATTTGGATTCTGCATCACCATTTCTATCATATCTAAAAATATTTCCGCCGAAAACGATCTCAAAGTAAGCTTAAAAAATGTTTTTCTGACCGCGGATCGCAAAAAGCTGGCTGAAATCTGCGCGAAAATGGCCCATTTCCGAGCGCGATACTTCCGCGCCTTCGCCGCCGCTCGCGGAAAGCTTGGTGTCACTGGAAAGCTTGCTTCACCGCCGTACTTCTCCCGGTGAAACCACGACTCTACGAGCTAAGATAAACGCACAAACAGAAAAAATGCGAAGGCATCCGCGACGCCTTAGACGCGCACCCATTGGTCGCTCCTGTCACGTGGTACTGAGCGCGCTCTGTGAGTGGCTGCTGGGACGCGCTTGCTTGCGCTGGTCGTCTGCTCCGCGCACGCACGTCTGCTACGCACACGCTGGCGCACTATAGTTTGCGAATCCCCTGCCGATACGGTCGCCGATACGCCAACTCTTCTCTAGCGCGAGGCTTAGCGCCCGCAATGGATCGTCGCGTGGACCGGAAGCGCAGGACGAAGTATCGGACGAAGTACGCTTACGGGAAGCGTAAACGCAAGCCTCCTGTTGGGAAAACGAAGCAGTCAGCAGCGATTGAATCAGACGAACCGAGTACCGCGTCGCCACCAAGCTACGTGTCGTCGGAAGCCGACACCTGCTCGCTGCCGATGCTCGGCAGTGAGGCCTATGACGCGGGGCCGTCAACTAGCCGCGACGTTGCGGTGCGGCCCGAACGCGAAAGAAGTTTCGTTTTCGCTGCGGCGGGTGACGATGCGGTGCCGGCTGTTCAAAGTGACGGTGAATCGACGCCTGGCAGTGACACTGAAGACCCGGGGCCATCAACTAGCCGCGGCATCACGGTGCGGTGTGAACGCGAGAAAAGTTTCGTTTTCGCGGCGGCGGACGACGACGTGGTGCCAGCTGTCCAGGATGTCGGCGATCGTTTGCCTCAGCGGAAGCGCACCGTTCAAATACACCTGGAACCTCGTTTCGTGTCCTCGGAAGGCGCCGAGAAGCAAGCCAGCAGTGTCCGCGATGCACTTCGCGAGGTGTCGGCAACGGAGCGGAAGTTCGGGTTCGCGCAGCAAACGGAGCAAACATCGGCAACAAAAGAGGATGAGTTCACCCTAATTCAGGTTTCTGCCATGAATTCCCTAATAGGACCTGCACTCTGCCCAAAATGTTGTAAGAAGACTTTGTCAGTGCAGCATGGGACAAAATTGGGCCTGGCAGTAAAACTGGTACTTTTGTGTGCTTCCTGTGGCCCTATTCATTCACCTTGGTCATCCAGTAGAAAATCCGAAGGAAGGGCTTTTGAAGTCAACCTAAGAGCCATGCAAGCAATCAAGTCCATTGGAAAAGGGCCCACTGCCCTGAATGACTTCTGGGCTACAATGAATGTCTCTCATCGGGGCATTCATCAAAAAACCTATCAGGAACACCTAAAAAAACATTCAAACCAGGAGCAGAGAAAGCTGCACAAAACATCTTTGCAGATGCTGTGCTTGCGGTAAAAGACGTGTACAGTAAGATGCAGCCATCAAGCCCAAACAACATCACAGTTGTGTATGACGGCACGTGGCTTACAAGAGGCCACAGCTCACACATTGGGGTAGGATGTATTATTGAGTTTTACACGGGGCTTGTGCTGGATTGCACAGTCCTTTCCAACTTCTGTCTTGGGTGTTGTCAACAACCAGCAGAGAGCGACCCCAACTTCGTCACTTGGGCTGAGAAACATCAATGTCAGAAGAATACTGATGTTGGCTCCGGACAGATGGAAGTGGAGGCTGCTCTGACACTTTTCAGGCGCTCTGTCAGCAGGTATGGCCTCCGCTACACCAACATTATATGTGATGGTGACAGCCGAACCTATCTTGCTCTGTGCAAAGATGAGGTGTACGGCTTCATACCACTGACCAAAGAAGACTGCGTGAACCATGTGCAGAAGAGAATGGGCACCGCTCTCCGCACACTGGTGACAAGAGCTAAGAAAGGGGAGCCATTGGGTGGGAGAGGTGGACTGACGCAGGAGTTGATTAAAAAACTGACCAGCTACTACGGGTTAGCCTTGCGAAAACACACAAGTGTCCCTGACATGCAAAGGGCCGTGATGGCCACTTTTTATCACGTCACGTCCACCGACGACGAGCCTCACCATGAGCTCTGCCCACCTGGCCCTGATAGCTGGTGCAAACATCGTTCAGCACAGGCCAAAATGGAGCCAGCACCACCTCACAGGTATAACCTGTCGAAACGTGTAGCGGAGGCTCTGCTGCCTGTATACCAACGTCTCTCTGACCCGCAACTGTTGGAGCGATGCAAAGGCAACAAAACTCAGAATGCGGCGGAAAGCTTGCATTCAGTTATTTGGTCACTGACTTCAAAGGACCAACACGCTTCAGTGTTCGCAGTGGAGACAACAGTACATGAAGCAGTTGCACGCTACAATTTTGGGAATTTGCGAGCCTACACTGAAATGTGCAAGTCCGTGGGCATGAAACCTGCTAGCCTCGCCCTTCAAAGAGCGGAAGAAAAAGACCAGCAAAGAAAACGAAAAGCACGCAGTGCAGAAAAAATGAAAGAGAAAGGACGTAAGAAGACCCTCGCAAGCAAAGACACAAAGTATTACAGTCCCGGGGCATTTTGATGGACCTTTACTGACTGTTCAACTTTAACGCCAGTTTTCTCAGAAACGTGTTTTGACCCGACTGTCCAGCTTGCCACGATGCTTGCATGACTATGGCTTGACGGATTTTCATGTGGTTTTTTGCATTGTGTTCCTCAGTGAATTTTCTATGTCGTGACGTTTTCATATTTGTTAATTCCTACCTCAGTATTTTTACTCCTAAGCTAATTTCACATTATGATAACGACCACATTTACAAGCATGTATACAATGTTCTCTGTAAAATAAAAACAGTCATAAAAATATTTGCAGAATGTCACGACATCAACCATCCCAATGGCTAAAATATAAGAGCAACTATAGGCTTCTACCATGTTTTTTTGTCACACCAGGCTTTGGGCAAGTTTGGTAGTACACTGATGGATAAAAAAATTTATAATGCCAGAACTACTGGAGATAGCTGAATGAAACTTTGTCATTTATCATTTAGCGCAGTTTCCAGTAAGCATGCCAAATTTCATTGCTCTACGACAAAAACTAAAGAATTTCACTTTCGATCCCCACCTCCCCCCTTAAGGTTACACCTACCA